TGAACTCTTAATATTTCTTAAAATTATTTATAAATGTACAATGTACATAACCTACTACCTATACTAATCAAGTAATATATGTATATGTGTGTGATTGTGTGTATTATACAAGTAGTTTTAACTAAAATCTTTTAGTTGAATTTAATATACGACATATATTTTAAATTTTCAGTAAAATTGATAAGCTTTTCAATTAGATAGGTACAGGTACTATAAATTAAGTAAAGATATGGTTGGTTCTATGATGAATATAGTTTAAAATTTTAGTTAAATTTACTACCTATTTAATGTTATAACTATAAACGAATAGTACTACTAAATTATTTCTTTGTTAGTAATATGTAAGGCTAAAATATGAACTAATTTTAGCTAAAAACAAATAAAAATTATAATATACCTATTGATTATTATTGCATTATTTCATATAATAATTATAGGTACTAATTATTTATAAGTATGAAACTAATAACTTATAAATAGAGCGTGGATTTCTATGCAATTGCATATTTTTTTCCTTTTAATATTTTTGGATTTTTGTCAGTTATCTCCACGAATTATCATAATTTGAAGCTAATGGTGAAATTTTTTTTGCATATTTCTGCATATTTAAAGGTTATTGCATATTTTGGCAAAATTCAAAATGTATTGCATATTGAAGTGAAAATTTAAAAAAATGTATAAGATAATATTTTGTCAAGTAGAATGATTTAAAATGTATATCTACTCATTTGGTTTTTTTAGTGATAGTCATAAAAAAAACTGGAAACTCGAAATATGACACTTTACATCTAAGCTTTTCAATAATTGACGAAACGAAAGAAAAAATGCATTCTATTTCTGGATCGAAAGGTGTAACACTTACAACAAAATTAAACGAGCTTTCCAATAAAAATGAAGGTCTGAAAATTCTACGAAAAATTAATTCAGTGTTATTAGGCGAAAACGTTCAGCTTGAAGATCTTTATCAATATCCGACAATACTAAGTTGCTTCAAATATACCCCAATAACTTCGATTGACGTCAAACGTTCGTTCTCAGTCTTTAAAAATATGTTAATCGATAAACGATACAGCTTCACAGAAGAAAAACTTGAAATGCATATGATTATTCATTTTAATAATAAATAAAATTTTAAAAATAAATTAAGTTAAGAAAATTCCCTAAATTGTTTATTATTAAGTATTTAAGTAATTAATTATTATAAGTTTTATTGTAAATTTTAAGGAAATAAAAAATTCTTGCATATTTTTGCATATTTTCATAATTTTGACTGCATATTTTCATAGTTTTAACTGCATATTTTCATGATTTTTACTGCATATTATATGGCATATTTCGATACTTTAAGTACATAAAAATCCGCGCTTTACTTATAAGTCAATAGCAACGTATCACAGAACAGTGTGAATAGATTCATAATAAAATTAAAGAAAAGTATCAACCAATAACTTAAGTAGGTCGTAGGTACTATTAATTTATCAAAAGGACAACTTATGAAAAATGTTATTAAAAATTTACAAATTTTTGAATGTGTTATTGCCTCAACATTAAATTTTTTACTAATTTTATAAAAAAAAAAAAATTGAATATTTTGTAAATGGCATCGTATAAGTATCGAAAATTATAACAAAATCAGGGAAATTAAAGCCGTAACTAATAACAAATTTCGGAAAGGAGTCTAATTTATTTTAGTTTTGATACCAGACACATAAACTGGTGTCTCATTACTTAAATAAAAGCCATAGATATAGTTCCATAGATAATTGAACAGTGTAAATTATATCTAATTCATTATTTAAAAAAAAAAAAATTGAAAACAGGTAAACACGTATAGAAATTTTATACCTCTATAAACGTTTTAAAATGGTAAAAAAGGTAAGAAAAAAGGGATCTTCTTTGTAAAGTGAATAATGATCAAGTATAAATCAGAAAAATTCTCCAAAAAAATAAATATGACCAACAAATTATGTTGAAATCGCTCGATATAATAATTTTATGAGTAGTATTAGTCATGTAGATCGGTAGATCAAACAATGAATTATTAATCATGTTCTAGCAAGTCAGATAAGTGGTATAAAAATGTAAATTCTATTCATTAAATGTTACAGTATGAAACAGTTTTTACACACTTATCACTAGGGCTCGGAAGTTGATGACATTAAACACATTAAAAATGACCTAAAAAATATATGCAAATATGACTTAAAAATTATAAAAAATGACCTAAAAAATTATAAATATTTGTTACTAGTAAAAATACATTAAAAAAAAAAAAAAAAAAAAAAAAATAGTAATAATGATAAAAATTACTCAAAATTATTACTTTGTACTATTAAAGTATATTTTATATTGTCAAAAGTAAAAATGACAGCTAGCAATTGCCTTATTTTATCGAATCCTTATCTTTACCTAGTCTATATACAACTTGTATAAAATAAAAAATTGATGTAGGTAGGTACTTACATACAGTCTGTGTAAAATAAATACCATGCATGTAAAGATGTTAATTGACGAAATCGAATTATAAATATAAGAAATTGAACTAAAAAGAAAAATAGGATCTAAAAATAACAAAAATGACTTAAAAACGACAACAAATAACTTAAAAAGTAAAAAATGCTAAATAAAAATTAGTTATTTAGATTCACAAGTTTATGAAACACATTTGTGGCTAGTAGAGTATCGTCTAATAAGTTCCAAAAAAAAGTGCAAAATGCATCAACTTCCGAGCCCTACTTATCACACTTATAGAAAATTTAATTCAGATGACAGACAATACAAAATATAACAGTGCATGAATTATTTGGTATTCAGAAGTAGGAACCAAACAACTTAGTACAAATAATTTTTGTGAACATCATTAAAAAGAATCTATACCATTATCATTTGGCTATAAATGGAAAAAATAATGTTTGAATTGTTCATAATATTAAAAAAAAAAAAAAGAAAACATTTAGTGCAAGATGTGTTATCTTCCTCTGTATACAGTCTTCTTTCAAAGAATACCATGCTAATTTATCATGGATTTATAATACAACTTTTTAACATTTAATTGTAATTCACTTTTTTTTTTTTTTAATTTTTATTTTACCTATAAAAATGTAATGCTCATTTGGTTTTTTAACATATTAAAATAAATAAATTCTAACAATTTTTTTTACATTATAAAAGTTAAGAAATTATTGCTTTAATTATCTATGATGTATAAAAGACATCTAGATATAAGAAACATTAAGGGTAAATTAAAATAGTACTAAATGATAATAAAAATTATTATTAAATTACTACTATTAGGTTACTAAAATATATTACTACTATATCAGTAATTTAATAATTTTGATAGATGTATATTAAAAAAAGAATGTAGAGGGTCATTAATAACTCTTAAGCAATAATAAAAAATTACTTTTTAAGGAGTGTTTATGTGAAAAAATAATAATGTTACTGTCCATCAATATGTTATGATGGATATCAATAGTGATCAAATTAAGACATATTTTTATGAAATCGAGGTGGAAAAATACAATTAAATGATAGTTAAGTGAACGCAAATAATGTAGTTTTGGAAAGTAATTATTACAATGATTTGGAGCTATTTTATGAAAACATGGATATTTTAGAATGCCTTATTAAGTCCAGATTACATTAGAAAAGTAAAAATGCCAAAAAGATAATGAATAAAGACTAAATTGTATTACAATAGTTTAAGTAGGTACATAATAACTATTTCATTAGGAAGTATGTAAAGCCAACCTAAAATTGTTTTTTATATTTTTAAATGTAAGTACCTATTAAGAATATTTGTTTGAATCTAACAACAAGAGCAACATTTTACAATTCACAACATATTTTCTTATTTGTTGCAATTAATACACTACCAACACACAATTACAATTACGTGAGTAAAATTAAAATTATCTTTATAGAAGTTATAGTAAAACTAAATTCCTTATCAACTACATTATTATTTAGTCGTGTTTCATTTAAACAAATTATCTAAAGATTAACTGTTGACTAAGCATTACATAAAAAAGAAATTTTCATAAAAAAACTTTTAACATTCTGGCAAAAAATTGATTATACAAAGTAATTAAATTAAAATTATGAGTATTAGGCTAACTCTTTACGAGTTTTTTATATACTTAATAATTATACTAGTTCACTATTATTTCTTGAATACTCTAATCCATAACAAATTTTTTTCTTGAAATTTCTTTGGGAAAATGTTTGGTTAGAACTATAATAGAAGGAAGCTATAATGATAATATATATTTTTTTTATTTTAAATTTTTAAAATGTCAAATATATCAGCTGATGAAGAAAATATAACATTAATTGGATAGATTTTATTTTGGTCATGTTTCAATGTATGATTTTCAATGGCTTGGTAATATTATTGTTATTGATGACTTCAATGAAGTTACTAATCAGATTAAAGTTGTGAGAAAGTTATCAGCTGAGTTATTTGAAATTAACTTTAGAACATTTTATAATAATAAGAGACGCTCTCATATTACGCTTATCAATTTCATCAATTATCAAGAAGTCTTCAACATGATGTATTCTATGGTTTTTGAATTTTAAGATCATTAACTTCAATCAACAGAGAAAAATTAATTGCTTCAAATCAGGAATATCTTGTAGTCCATTATTACAAGATTCATAAAAAAATTTAGAATTTTTTTAAGTTAGACATTTAGTTCACTAGCTCACTCACAATGAAACTTGGCAAATACAAGATTACATTTGTAATAATTATTACTATTAGTTAACGGCATTACTGTATATCAATACTTAATTATAATTTAAGAAGACATAATTTAAAGTTTAAATAGAAAAATAATAATAATAAATAGTTTGTTCACATGATGCATATTTTAATTCTTACAATCTTTGTTTTATGAAATAATCAACTATAAACATTAGTTTTAGTATTAGTTTTTGTGAGCAATTTTCTCCAATATTTTGTTAAATTATTTTTATTTGTGATATTTCTACATTCTAAATCATATAAAATATTCATCAGTTTATCTGTATAAATATTTAATGTGTTTGATAAAATATTCCTATCAGTTTCACAATTTGTCTGTAAAAATACTTCAAATCAAATAAAGTATGTCCAATTAATTGTTCAAAAAAAGGATGGTAAAAGTTTTACAGCAAAATATTATTGTAATTGTTCTTCGCTATCAACTTATTAAGCCATACTGCAAACACGGTATTTTTGAAGATGTTTCTGCAATTAAAGTCTCATAAAAACAATCCAATTATTTACTGAGAACATATTTTTAAATACCACCTGCATCTATTGCATTTTTTGGTTACCTATTTGGTAATATAAATTCAATAGTAATAAAACTAAAAGTTATTATCAATGTTTTCAATAGCGTCTAATAACTTTTGAAAATATTTTTTTTGATGTAGAATTGATTAGGTAAATCTGATTTTAAAAGTTATGAATATCAGAAGAGCTATTTGTAGTTAAATGTTCCACAGTAGTCAGTAAGGCTCTTGCTGAAAGAGACTTGAATTATCTTTAATAGTTGTTACAGATATATAACTGGTGTTACACGATAAAGATAATTTGCTTTAGTTGCTAAGTAGAACCTCGATGATTTTAATCCTGTTAACATAATAATCAAATTAAAAAAATATATATTAAATTATTAAAATATAATATCATTTACTTGTATTTTGAAAAAAGTATTGAAATAGTAATATTTTGCATGAATGAAGTTTTTTTGAATTCAAATAAATCAATTTGAAAATTAAATATTTGAGACCTTTGGTTGACTGACCATTGGGAAAAATTAAATTTACTGCAGCATCTATTATATTTTTTTTTGATTAAATTCTGTTGGCATAAATATATTTCTAGTATCTTCTTTTTTTAAAACCTAAAACATAAGAAATCATTAATAATTAATTCAGTTTTATTAAATTGTAAAAAAAAAAAAATGTTAATTTTATAAAAATGGATAAAAGTTAACATTTCTAACTGAATTATAAATAATTATTAGAATATAATAAGTATAAATATTCCTTAAGAGAATACAATATGTAGATATTAATTTATATACAAAATAAAAAGTGTTAGATATTAAAATTAAAAATAATCAAATATAATGGTTAAATATTTTATTAATAATAACAATCTTAGCCATAAATATTAACAAAAACTAATTTCAATTTCTAATTTACAGCAACAGTCATTGTATATGATTAGTCTCATAATAACATTAAATTATTATAAAAATAAGAGTTCTACAAAAATGAAATATCACTAAATATCCAGCACATAACTATATCAAGATTTAAATACCATACTATGCAGTATGCATTACAATTAGTAAATAACAGAATCAAATCTAAACAAACTATTAAAAAAAAAAAAAAAGAAATCAATAATTAAAGAGGAATTAATTTTTATTAATAATTCATAAAACAATTAAAACATATTTAACATCAATAGACATCAAAGACTATTTTAATATCCAATAAATTACAAGTAAAAACTTACATTAATCCTTATTTTATTATATTTTTGTCCTCATAAAAAAGAAAAGAAAATATAGTTTATAACAGTATAGTTATATTTCTTCATTGTTTATATTTTTTTAAGTTATTTGTTACGCGATTTATGTTCCATTGTAAAATATATTTAAGACAACCAAACTGACACAAAAAATAAGTCTCTCCAAATTATGGTATGAATTAATATCATGGTCGAGTAGACATTTAGGCTGTCAATATTTTTTTCTTTAGTAAGTTTTTTAATAAAGTTTTTTGTACATTAAATTAAATGTTTTTGTTTTTGTCACATTACTTAACTGAATTCTTGGAGTTTAATCTTAAACAAGTAAATATTAGGTTTAGCATATGTGCAAGGAGTAGCTATTAGATCTGGTATCCTTTTTAATAACTAAAAAAATTATAAATGTTTAAAAAAATTACAAATCTTTAATAATTTAATTTTTTAATTATTTAATTAAATTAAAATTGAATTAGATTAAAGTGATACAGAAATGCAAGGGATATAAAATATATTATAGATGCCATCTAACTTCTGTTTCTTATAATAAAATATTATCTGTATTATAATTGTTTTTCTGAATAATAACTAAAATTATTAAAAAATAAATTATGAAATTTAAAAATTTGCATTTTTTTTCATACTTAATAACAATTAGCCAATAAATGTCATACAGTAACTAGAATCAGTTGAATAGCAATGTTGTATAATTTATGAGTTATTTATTTTTGTCTAAATTGATATATTTTTATTAGAACAAAAAAAATTATCTTATGTTGCATGATATTTATTAATTACCCATTTAAATCTAGCAGGAGTTAAGTTTGGAACTACATCAGGCCTTATAATCTTATAGATTTAGAATTAATACATTTCAATGAATCAAAATTACATAAACGAATCATACTATTTTACTATTAAATTATTTAAACATAGTTTGTTTGCCACTAAAAAATCATTTAATTTTTCCATCAATATAAGATAAGATTGACGTAATCTAAAAAAAAAAAGTATTATAAAACGTAATAACTTTTTATAAAATAACTATGCAACTGGACTTAAATGTGACCTACCTCTGAATTTGACTTAATGATTTATAACCAGGTTTAATATACGACCAACTAGTGTCCACCATTTTTTTTTCGTGGTATTATATAAATGTATGATTTAAAATTAAATATTTATTAATTATTATCTAAGAAAATAAAATTTTAAATTCTTTCAGATTTTTAAATTGTTAATAATGTGCCATATGGATATTAACTAATATGGAATTTACATATTACCTCCAAACTACAACAAGGTTAACAGAGACTAAAAATACTATATCCACTGACCAACCAACAAACATCATTAAAATGGAGATGTTTTCTTATGCTATATAAGCAAATTCTATGATCAATACTTTTATATGCAGTCCCTGTGTGAAGAAATTGTACTATAACTCACACATGCAAAATTTAAGTTCTGAGGAAAATATATAATAATCTATGATTTGTTCGCAATGATGTCCTTTATAAAGATTTAAAACTATCTATAACTAAATACATAAAAAGTTAGAGATCAACTTCTTTAACCACATATATTCTGCTAGTAGTGCAAAATACTTTAAATTAGGTAAACCACCAACTGTATGCTGACTCAAGTATGTATGCCCACACAATCTTCTGTTATAATTTTAAATATTAAAACTTAAATGTATTATATTGTTAATAATATTATAATAATAACATAGTATATTTTAAAATTATCATCCTTATTGATTTATGATATTATTTTTATCTGTTTCTCAAACATAAAAAAATGTAATTTCTGTTAACAATAAGGTTAAATGACTAGCTATCAAGGAAACTTTAATAAAAATAACTAAAATAAATTATTGCCATTATCTATAGTAATACAGTGGCGCCAAGTACGTACCTAAGGTGGTTCAAATGAACCACATAAGCTTAGAACCTACCACCACCCACCATCTCAAAACCAAAACCAATGGTAAGTACATACCTATATATTTTAACAAAATTATACCTTATAACTATATAGATTATCAATTAAATTATTTTAGCATAATATGTTAATATATACGTAAATACATATGGATACTTACATAGATTTAGATGAAACTACTTGCCAGTAGTATGAACAGTGTATTTCACTGTGGTGAACTCTTATAAAGTTGTTATATTCACAATGTAAAATTCAATAAGTTAATCATTTTAAAAATATAAAATCTTCCTTAAAGTGAGACAAATGTAAAGATATAAAAGGGTTAAGTTTAATTAGTGTATAATATTAATTTAAAAACAAAATTCCATCAAGCTTCATTAACAAACTAAAATTATTATAACATTACCCACCATTTAAATAAATTATGTAAAATGGTGTTATTAATATGGACAATTATATTCAATATTTTAATATTTTACGCATTGGTAACACAACTTTACTTTACATACATTTATCCTTTTCATACTTAGGAAGTTATAATAAATAAATGTTACTATTTGAATTAAGTGAGATTATGAATATTTATGGTATTTTGTGTAAAATATACATTTTAATTTAATTAATATAAATAACCCGATATATTATTGTTTCTTTTTAATTTATTTAAAAATTTAGTTAATTACCGCGACAATGTGAAACTTAAACTACCAAATATATGAAAACATCTTCATTGTTTATTTCAACATCTGATTACACATGTTATAATTAAATCTCTACTTGATCTTGTGTGAAAATAGTTATCATAGCAGTTTTTAAATTTTATTTTAATGTTCTCTCAAGTGAAATACTGGATAAGACAATATACAGCTTCTTTAAAAATAAGTACAGTGTTGAAATAATACTTCTAATCAGAAGTATGGCAAACTTGAAATAAGTTGAGTATACTTACTAAATTGTTCACTACTGTTTCATCGCAAGTGTCTCTCTTGCTTTCATCATTGTGATTCATTATCTTATTTTTATCATCATTTCTGTTACGATATCTTCATGAAAATTTGAATTAGATACGTAACAACGTCAGTAAACATCGTTTAGAATATTATGAATATACTTTCATTCTTAAAACTTCAAATTGTATATGTTGTCATATTATACAAAACCACCTTAAAACTTATCTTTAGTAGTGATGATGGATCTTTTTAATTTTAATACGATTTATTGAAAAATATGAAATAATACTAATAATCTGAGATGTTGAATAACATGCAGCAACT